ACACGGTGCATCGGCTGGAGCAAGCGGAAACGCTCCGACCGCCCCCTGCCCTATGCCCAGGCCCTCATCCAGGCAGGCTGCGAGGAAACCATCGAGGCCACCGTGCGCAAACGTGACTGTGTTTCGCGGGCTTTGTTATGCGCATAGAGGACAGCCGCCTCCCCAAGCGCATGCTGTTAGTAGCGATGGCGGGGGGCGTGGGATACCGGGGCGGGCAGGAGAGCGACTGGGTGTCTCGTAAAGGAGAGGACCTCGTGGCCTTCAACATGGGAGACGAAAAGGAAGGGGGTAAATGGAAAGAGAGCGCCAAGGACCCGGAGGTGTAGTACAACAAGGTCGAGGACGGGGCGGCATGGTTCATGAGGAAATGGCACATGCAGGAGGCGGAAGCGTCCACGAAGCGCCAGCGCACGAGGGAAGCAGAATCAGAGAGTACGGCCATCTCAGGACTGAAGCGAAAGAGAGCCGGGGAAGCGGCGGTGAGGGGGGAAGAAACGGCGACCGGGCACTACTGTAGAAGCGAGTAGGGCGGCCGAGGCAGCACTTGTGGCGAACTACATATGTACCCGGCTGATGTTGTTGCGCCCTGTTTCGCTCCCTGCTGTATGGTATACTCCTTTGTGTATGTCCTTTGTATTGCCTTCGGCCTCTGTGTTGTGTTTCTTTTTTGCGTGACCTCCCTGCCTACTCTGCTGTGTTGGGTACCTTGATCTCGCTTTGCTGTTGCCTTTGTTTTTGTACGTCTGACTGTCTGCCCATCTGCCGCTTCTTCGTCCTGTTTGCTCTGTTACTCCCATGCCCTGGTGCGTAGTGCCTGGTGCTGGTACGTTACCCTTTGATTTTTTCTTTGGGCGGGTGTGGGAAGCGTCATCCTTTAGTTTAGTTTTATTTATTTTGATCGGTTTCCGAGGGATCTTTTCTCGAACGGTCGGTGCGATAACTGTTCTTTGCTTTCCATCATTTTGTTTTCTTTTTCCGAGTGGTTTGTACCCTTTTTTTGTTTGTTTTTTCCGCGGCGTTATATGTGCCGGGTTTTGAGACCACGGGCTCCCCATTTTTTGTGGACTATAGAGCTAATGTGAGAAACAACAACAACGTTAACTTACTCTAACAAGGTTCACTCCAATAATGCCCACATGTCATTAGAAATCGCCGACCGGTATTCTGGAGTCCTCCACTCCCTCTGCGCGCTGTGCGAGGTAACAACTGAGACTGGGATTCACCATCACGGGCCGGAGAGAAAGAGGGACACCCCCTTGCTTCAATCTTGGTACTTGTGTAACTTTAGGTGAAGTTAACCTGTGACCCCGGGAATCGACCGCGTCGCGTGTTGGATCAGTACGGACAAACGAATGCACTGGGTAGAGAGAGATCGGAACGGTTTAATGTGAAGCCAACAACAACAACAACTTCACAACGCAAGCACAAAGACCATCTGGCACAGAAATAGAGAGAAATAAAGAGAGAAATAGAGAAAACATTTCTGCAGATAGATAGATTTGTTGTGTGATATTAAGAAAAAAAAATAATAGACATCAGCGGTAAACGTCGATTGTTATCCTGATACATGCTGCCGGCAAGCACACGACTTCGAAGTCGAATAGGGGCTGTGCTCACTTTCGTCCGTATAGGAGTTGGTAACATCAAGTGCAGCGAACGTTTTCGGTTAATCGTTACAAGCGCGTTAAATCTTTCTTTCTACCGGGCTGACCAAGGCTGACGCATGACACTTTCTCAGGGGAGATTTGCTGAAGCCTTTGCAACGAGAATGTAGTAAATCCTGCTGGGGAGGTAGATTGTTAGCCTTCGGAGAGGCCGGCGAACCGGTGTAACTCTCCGGAGAGAAACGGCTCCTATCCCCTCCCTCCCCATCCGACGACCTCCCCGCTGGTCACGCCAACTCTCACACACAATCCACCGCCTACCGCATACCGAGGCAACAGGACAGATCAAACCACTTAGCACCAAACATGGAGGGCTCAAGGGTTTCATGTTCTTGTTCTTGCTACTACTCTTGGCTGCATTCGCAAGCCCAGCATCAAATTTGCCGGTGTCGGACGACAAGATCATGTCCCACATGATCGACCTTGTGCGCACCGCCAGGTGCCCTACCGTACAGCAGGCATGCCCTGACGGCCACATCATGCTTCGTAGGAAGAATGAGCTCGGCGGGTGCATCCCCGCCGCGTGCAAACTAGTCCCAGGGGGCCTACAACACGAGGCCATGACGGTAAGAGCACCTTCATTACTTGGTTTGCATCTGTATCTGTTGTTGTCTACCGTGTGTTTGTATTATAATCTGCTACAGCAGGGATGCCGTCTGGATCTACCGTGCGCTCCAAGCCTCCTCGTTCGTGGGGTGCCGCGCCGCCGAACGTAGAGCTATCACGGGTAACCAGCAGGAGATTTTTATTGATTTTACGGATCCATCCGTGTTCCAGGTACCGTCCCTTCTCTCTCTCTCTCTTTCACCCCACCAACAGCGGCCGATCTGGAGAGAAAAAAAAAGGTATTTCTCGACGGATACAGCCCACTGTAGCCTTACATGTATCTTCAGCTGTCCAAAGATACTCTTGTATACACCAGAAGGTGCCATGAGCGCGCACACATGATCCTTGCGCGCAAGCTGATTGAAGTACAATACTTCCCATCCGTCCCCGTCAGCCCACTCTTTGCTCTCCTCCTTTTTCTCGCTCGTCCGTTGTACCCTGGGCCAACCGTATCTATCCGTCTGCTGCAGAGACTCTTCTTCTGGTTGGTTGTGGAAAAATAGACAGCCATATCAAGAGCGAAAAAATAGTACATGCAACGGATGTTGTGTTTGCCTCAAAAACAGGATACGATGGACAAGTTCAATGTAAACCAGAAGGCATCCCTTTGACCTGGCGACGATTGCGGGAGCTCTCAATCAATCGAAGTTATATACATCACCAAGGATACAACAAACCTAATGTGCTGGTACAAGATACGCGACGCGGAATCAAACAAGCGAGACAGCTGCCAAAATTTCAAGTATGCCCATGGTTCACCTGGCGCTTTTCTGGTTCTCGCTACACGTTACCCCGAAATGACGTCCCCGAAACGACGTCCATAGGGCGGCGACGAAGAAGTGTTGGTCGAGGAGCAGCGGGAGCCCGGGCATTTTCCGAACAGAGACAAAAGGCGTACAACACGGTAAGAAGCGAGACGCTTATTGTTTGATGTGGTCGGATGAATGCTTGTTCTTTTGTGTAACCTAATGTACAGGTTGTTTGCAGTTATACTCGGTTTGCGCACAGCAGAAAGGCAACAGGTACGCGGCCATCTCGCTGGACACACCCGATCGACGTGGCAAGTCCTCTTTGCAGTCCTGGCACAGACTGCCATACCACACAGCAACAGAGATCTTTTTATTCCTGTTTCTTATATTCCCCCTACGCGTTGTAAAGGAAAAGAGCGAGGGAGAGAAGGTGGGGGAGAGAGGGAACAATGTAGAGTGTGATCTCCGTACCATCGAATACTTTGTGGGTGGGTTTGGGAGGAGTTCGTTGCGGGAACAATGCCGAGGTCGGACCAACCACCTATCACAACAAAGGAGGTCTGCAGCTGAGACGTTTCCACCCGGACGGTTGTCACAATCTCTGGCGTACACACTCAGAGACATCAATACATCGATCGCACAAACACACAAGCCCCAACAAGGTCAGCCGCGAGAGAAAATATGCTACCAATCCCCTTACTGTCCTCCCCCCGTTTTCGCTCTTTGAACCAAATACACCCCACCCGCAGAGGAGCAAGATCAACAGGAGGAACATCGCCCGCATTATGAAGCAGAAGACGGAAAACTGCGACCGCAACGCTCTCGACGTCCTAGTCAAGGAGCCCCGCTCTAACGGCTACACCGGCAAGAAGGTCAACGATGGAAGGGACGCCCTCGCTTGGGGTTCGAACCCTGTCAAGGGTAAACCTCGAGGCGGCCACAGCTGTACACAACACCCGACCCTGCGGATGACATTTGACTCCTTGCCATCGCTTGTTGCTCGACGGCGGCGTTCGACTCAGACAGAAATAAATGCACCGGTGGCTTCATGCGGTGGTCGGGGCAACTCCGGCACGCCGGCCGATCGTAGATAGAGAATCTGATTGCCTATTCTCTCTTTCTTTTCCCGATCCCTATATTAACCATTCCAGTAGTTCCCTCACGCACCCACTCATCCGCCTCCTCGACTCCTCCTCCGGGTGCATCTACCTAGCTACCTCCAGTCGGCATCGGCCAGTTGCCTGGCGTTGAACTCGGTCTGAAGCCCGGCCGCCATCCTTCCGCACGCTGCCGCGATGCATATTTTGCATTGGACCCGAAGTGCCGCAAGTGCCTCATTCCTTCCCTCGCTCTCGACCCGAATCATTGATATGACCTGCCCTGCGGCCATCTCCAGCCTCACCTCGACGACCTCTTGCCTTGCCTCGGCGAGCTCTTGCCTCGCGTCTACAGCAGCGGGCATCATTCTGTTTACTAAGCCCGCTACATGGTTTACTACGGCCGCTACATGGTTTAGTCAATTTATTCCCGCCATTCAACTAAACCAAGTAGCGGACTTAGTAAACAGAATGATGCCCGTTGCTGTCGACGCGAGGCAAGAGCTCGCCGAGGCAAGGCAAGAGGTCGTCGAGGTGAGGCTGGAGATGGCCGCAGGGCAGGTCACATCAATGGCAGCGATTCGGGCTAAGAGCAAAAGAAGGAATTCAGCACTTGCGGCACTTCGGGTCGACTGCGACAGCAGAAGTGCGGCAGCGTGCGGAAGGATAGCGGCCGGGCTTCGGGCCAAGTTCAACGCCAGGCAACTGGCCGATGCCGACTGGAGGTAGCTAGGTAGATGCACCCGGAGGAGGAGTCGAGGAGGCGGATGAGTGGGTGCGTGAGGGAACTACTGGAATGGTTAATATAGGGATCGGGAAAAGAAAGAGAGAATAGAGAATAGGCAATCGGATTCTCTATCTACGATCGGCCGGCGTGCCGGAGTTGCCCCGACCACTGCATAAGTCATCGGTGCATTTATTTCTGTCTGAGTCGAACGCCGCCGTCGAGCAACAAGCGATGGCAAGGAACAAGCACCATCCAGGGTCGAATGTTGTGTGCAGCTAGCTGGTTTTCCTTTGACATGCGAGCGGCCCGTGCAGGGCATGACGGAGGAGGGTTGGCGCTGCCGTTCTCTGCGACAAGCCACTCGTCGATTGAGCAGCCTAGATTCTAGCGAGGGTTTATATTCACCATTTCGAGGATATTTGACTGCACCATGCACGTCTTCTAGCTGGTGAACGCACAGTGTTCGGCAGTAGATAGATGCATACATGCCTTGGAAGAAATGGTGCCGCAAAATACGTCGGTCTTTTTTTCGATCCCC